CGGAGCACCACGGAGGAGGCTGTGTGTTCCCTTGGACAGGCACCACCTCTCTGTGTCTGCCAGGTAGCACTGTTCCCGGTGGGTACTACTGCAGCACAGGTGATAATAATACCGCAGTGCTTATCCCGCTGCCTCCTGCAGAAGAAGGAACATTCATCAGGCATTATCCAATGCAGATGGGAAGCAACACCTGCTTTACTCTGCTTAGTAAAGCTACCTCTGTGGATAGTAATCTGGGAAGAGACAATAATTGGGGCAGAGGGACTGGAAAAAATTAGTGAAGTGCAGGAGAGCAAGAATGCTCTTTTTAAAAGCCACAGGAACTCAATTTCAAAATGCAATGTCAGCTAACTCCAGAGAACCATAAAAACAATTAAAAATAGCTCTATGCAGACAGACATTTTCCAGTATTTTTGGTAGGTAGTTTCCTATTTGAGTAGTTTTGTTGATCCTTTGTATTTCAGCACAGACGCTTTGATAATGTTGTGATTGGTATACTGCTCAGTGAACAACCGTGATTCATGGCTGCTTGTTGACATTTGGGTGGAACCTAACTGATCATGAGTTTTCATGTCAAGTGCAAGTGATATGAATCATTAAATAATCTTGAAAAGTGTTGGCTTGTAGATTATTATGCAGCTTACTTAGCAGTGCTTATAGACCAAATGTTAAAGAGTGGGAGGATATTAAAATCCCAGAGGATTGTTCCTTGCCCTGTCTCAAACTACCTGCATTATCTTGCACAGATTAATTTCACTTTTTCAGTTAATCTCCCCAGTGGGGATAACAATGCAATAGTATCTCCTTGGCTGATGAGACAAAAGCACCAATGAAGATAAGAGCTGTCACATTAACCTGCAAGAGATGAGACTTTCAATCAAATCCAAAATGTTTCAAGTTGAACACCTAAGTGTTTCAAGTTAGGAAACTCAAATGTTTACAAACCTAGCAGCTGCCATATGGAATATAATGTAAGAAAGTGAAAATTACAACAGATATCAAATACAAGTGTTCCATCTTCATGCAGAGGAACAAACAAGACACGTTTGCTTTGATTAAAGGTTATCAAGAAAATGAAACAGACCTTCAGTTTCCTCCCACTGCTTACCTACAGGTAAATTAAAAAACAAGGTTAAAAGCAAACAGCAGAAGCTTGGGTGTAGAACATTGCACCCTTTACTGCCCACTGCTACTTCAGACAAGTACTTAACCATTATCTTTTCTTTTATGTGAGAAAACAGCCTTTCACAAATTAAATAGTTACTCATACAGGATCACACCTCTCCCCCTTTCATGGGAAACTGAATCACGTCTGATGTTTTTACACAAGCATATTTCATCATAAATATGAATCAGATTATAGTGTGAAACAAACTGTGACTGGTATGTGGCTACTAAAGTGGCTGTAGCTGGCCACTAAGCATACTCCAGGGATACTTAGTTCCTTCTCAGGTGGTGGAGCATGGGACTTAGCTGGGAGAATTTATCTCTCAATTCCAGTGGCCTGTAGCAACATCAAGCTATTGCGTGTCCAGCCAGAGAACAACTTAAAAGACCTGAGAAATATGAAGGGATAACGAAGCGTACCTGTGCTCGGCACCAGGCAGACCTCACCGCAGCAGCTGGGAAATGCAGTTCGCGACGTCCTTTGATGTGGGTGCACTTCCAGAAAGCAAGAAGTCAAAAAAATCAGCCATATCCTTGTGGCTCGTTCTCACAGAATGCAACAGTCCTCAGATGCCCCCGTGTGATTCCTACGCGCACTACAACGCCTTGGTTTGAAAGATGACCTCTCCGGAACGCGTTTGGGGAGGGAAGGGCCTCGCAAGTACATGGAGTTTGCAGGAACATGTTACATTTTACATTCACTCATGACTTGGGGAGTACTCAGTTCTTCCCAGAGTGGAGTTCTGGGGGAACACAGCTTAGTTGCCACAAATGATAAAGCACACGAGTACATCTGTAAGTTTGAGGTTTTAAAGTAAGTTAGAAATATTATTTCTGTAGATTGGAATGATCTCAGTGTCTTAACCCCTAAAATATGTGAAATACTTATTACATTTTATGAAACATCTGAATAGAAAATCCCTAATCTAAAAGTGTCTCAGAGTACAACTACTTAGTGAATTAGCGTCCTTAAATAATACACTTATTCAGAGACAACCCAAAAAAATTCAGTGCCCTCTTGTGGTTTGAATTATGAAAGAAGAACAACTCATAAGAGAAACTACTGAAGCTTGAACAGTCTCATAACTCAGATGGCACATAAATTGCATCTTCTGTGACACTACCACCACAACTGTTACCCTGGAGAAAAAAAAAAAACAAACCAACAACACACCATCTTCCTACTGTCTTCTGTCCATCCCTGCAAAAACAGACAACCCAGTGCAAGGCTTTCTAAAAGCCAAGTGCCTATTACTGTTAAAGAGCAGGTCCGCATGACATGTTTCAGATTTTAAACATCATCCTGGTCTCTCCAACCCCCCAAAAAATACATTCCCCCCACAAAGAAAACAACAAAGCAAATGCTTCTAGCATTAAAAAAAAAAACCACCCAAAAAAACACTCAACAAAAAAGCCCCCACAAAACAACCAAAACACCATACACACACACACAAAATCTGACTAGTAAAACATTCAGATTCTTTCAGACTGCAAACACATTCTGAGAAATACAAACTCTTCAAAATCTGGAAGTTACAGTTGCTGTTTCTCAGTTCCTCTATTCACCCCTGAGCCCTACATCAACCCCAAGATACTGAGAACACAGCCAGAGGAGTTTATAAAACATACAGAATATTAGACAACGCTTAGTAGCTAAGTAATATAATTTTAGCTAATTAATTGCCGATTACTTTAAAAGACAGAAAAGGGAGTTGGAGGGGTAAACTTACAAGAATTGCTGTATCCTACAGCAATTCATACCGAATATATACAGAGGAAACAAGACAGACAGAAATACAAGAGAGAGACTAGAAAGTAATCGTGAGGAACACTCTCCTCAGTGACTAAGCATCCTGATAAGCTTAAGTTCATAAAAACAGTATTCTGTCACTAAGCCCTGGGAAATGACCTGCAGCTTCATGGAGCTGAGAAATGCATCCTAAATGTATACAGAGGATTTAAGGCAAAGATTTAGAACAGAATTAG